GAGATACCCTGGACGTGTTTGAAGATGGGGAACCGGTGGATCCAGGCAAGCCATCGGTGCTGGGTTGCAGATCTTGTATCGACGACATCCTGATCCTCGCCAATAACTGGGGTCAACTATGCGATCGAGTCGAAGGCTTGCTCGAAGCGTGTGATTAGTGGAATCTGTCGATCAGTGTGGTCAAGAGTTTCTGGGGAATGCCTAAGGTGGAATATCTCGGCAATAAGGTCTCCCACAATGGACTGGAGGTGAATCCGAAGGATCTGTCGGCATTGACTGATCTAGCATTTCCAGGATCACTTAGAGCCATGCAGTCATTTTTGGGAGTCTGAACTACTACAGCTGCTTTATCGAAGACTACGCGATCTGTGCGTCAGTTTTTGAGTTGCGAGAAATCGATTTTGCTGCGATGGTGAAAGAGGCTACCCAAGCACAGATCCAACAAGTGTTAGAAGCGGAGAATGTGGATCGAAGACCACAGGAAAATCAGGGGGTCGACCACCGAAAGACGTTGGATCTGGAGGCGCAAGATCTTACCGAAGTGGATCCGAGTTGGATCCATGCCCATCCATCGTTCAGTGCGCTCAAAGCCAAGATCACAACTACTCCGATCCTACGGCACTTTGATCCAGATCGGAGGCCACGGTTGTGGTATATGCTAGCGATTGAGTCATTTTGGGATCACTGATGCAGGAATACGACCAGATCTATTGCCCCGTGATGTTTGCGAGCCGCACTCCAAAGTCGAATGAGCTAAACGGAGAAGGAGGTATTAGCCCTTCTGAGGATCCTGGATCTTAACTACAACGCACTAGTCGGACGCCCGATTCACGTGTTGACCAGACACTCAACGTTGGCGTGGCTCTTCAGATCCACAGCCCTACAAGGACGTCTAGGACAGTGGGCTCCTCTGTTGTCGCCCTGGACTCTTGAGATCACCAAGTGTATCAAAAGAGAGGACGAGATCTTAGGATCATTGGAGGCCAGTATTACCCCTAGATCCGAAATGGATAAAGCATTGATCTCTATTGCCCCACAAGATCCAAGGTCCGATCCCCACTATTAGACGCGACGAGGATCTATATACTGCTAGTTTCATTGAATCCGACCGTGTCAAGAAAGGTAGAGGCGCTTACAGCGCGTTCTTGTGGAAATTGCCTGAATGGAGGGCACTAAAGGCTAGATCTGGCTACGCTGAAGGTCGGACAGTGCGCGAGGCAAAATATCATGGGTTGCTGCTGTGTTTGATTCTGCTAAAAGCGTTGGATCCATCACGTCTAATGATCTGCGTATACTCGACCTGGGGTTTGTTCCATGCGAATCATCACCCCAACACCACGGCAATTGTCGTTCATCATCCGATCCGTAATCTCCACGATAATATAGCGATAGATTCACAATTAAACTTTGTTTTCCCTTGTTCCATATCCACACCTGTATCGACTTGCTCCACATAGATCCTCAATCCACACCTTGTCATATACAAAGCTTTGCTAACCTTGTTCTCCGACATGCAACCTTGTTGTAGATCCATCGCCCCTCTGCCACAATTTCATCAATGTGGATCCTGATCTCACGGTTCTTCATGAGACTGCATCACACCAAACCTATTACGATTAGTGCGATCTCGCCGAAACTCATAAAGTAGGGCGCCGTAGTTGAGATCTGCCTCATCCACCCAAGTCAGATCTTCATATCTACGTCAGTGTACTTCTCGATAGAGCCGTCCATATTTCGGCCTTTTACCAGTCCTCATATCGGAAATTCGATCCACTTCATATTCATCTGGATCCCGATCTGGGATCCAGCTGTCGTCAGGCAGGAGAGCTTCATCGAAGTCAAGTGGATCTGCATCCGACTCCACTAGGCGATCTACAGGTCGATTCGGGAACATCATGACAGATTTGATTTTCGAGCCATGTACCACCAGAAAGATGCTGTACGTTGATCCTGCAATCTCCAACTTCACTACATATCCTCCGATCTTCTCCGCGATGCGAAATGGTCCATGCCATAGGTGAGCTAGTTTCTTCGCATATACTCAATCCAAGTACAACCAGACTCTTGATCCAGCCTCCACTGGAGGTGGGCGTACCAGATCATTATGTGTATCCGCTCGATCCGCGATAGGTTCGCGTAAACGTTGGTTAACACCTTGTGTCTGAGTGGTACGCGCCTCAGACGCGTAAGCGCATGTCGGTAGATATGACATTCAATAACTCTAGGTATTTGTATGTGCCATGTGTTTGATGTGGGGATAGGTGTATAAGTTGTCAGCAGGTTTTCCGGTCAATATCGTATGTGATACGACTTTGCGATAGAACCATTGCCGCTCAATGTCGTAACTGACCTCAATTGCTGTCAACAGATGAATGATTTTGTGCATTGTCAACTCTCTCACTAGAGAAAACGCAAAGAAGAAGGTACATCAGTTCAAGAAACTTGCTTTCAACCACATGAAACTAAGCAGATTGAAACGCAACCAAGTTTCACGTTTATTTTTCTCTAAAAATGAGTCATCACGCATTGTTGCCATCGTCGTCGATGCACCCGTCGTCGCTGCGTTGGTCGTTGTGAAGCTCGAGTTCCCGCCGTGTCATCTTGCGCTTTCCAGCTCCTGACCAGGCCTTCGCTGTAGTGGGACTAGGGCTCACGAGTTCGCTTACACGTGTGTGAACGTGTAGGAGGAAGCGTAGGTGTTCCTAGCTTGTATAGCGTACACA